TGTATGCAGACTTTTTTCTAATAAATACAGTGCAGTACTGTAAATGTATTTTCCTTAACATTTTATTAGTAACATTTTCTCTAGCTTACTTTATTGTAAGAATGTAGTATATAATACATATAACATACAAAATATGTGTTAATTCACAGTTTATGTTGTCAGTAAGGCTTCTCTGGTCAACAGTAGGCTACTAGTAGTTAAGTTTTTGAGGAGTGAAATGTTACACAAACCTTTTTGACTGAACAGGGATTGGTGCTCCTAACACCTGTATTATTTAAGGGTCAGCTCTATTGTGTTCATAATTAATGAGATTTTCCCCCTCCATTCAATGTGGTTATGTTATTTGTTTGAAATACTTGGATTCATTTGTTTCAGCTTGTTTTCATCTTTAATTTTTTTATTTTTTAATATGTAGAATTTAACATGCTTCCAAAAGTCAAATTTTTATAAAAAGATTGATTCTCTGAGAAATATCATTCACTTCCTGTATCCCATCTAACCATCTCTTATGGATGATCATTGTTTTTTGGTTCATCGTTCCTGTGTTTCTTTTAAAAATATAAATAGATAGGGGCACCTGGGTGGCTTAGTTGGTTGGGCATCTGATTTTGGCTCAGGTCATGATCTCATGGTTCGTGAGTTTGAGCCGCACATCAGGCTCTGTGTTGACAGCATGGAGCCAGCTTGGGATTCTCTCTCTCCACACGTCTGTCTCTGCCCCTCTCTGATTTGTGCTTTCCCTCTCTCTCAAAATAAATACATAAACTTTAAAAATACATAGATATATTCATGTTTTCTTACTCTTTTTTCTTCCCCAAAATGTAGCATTTATACTCTTTAGCACTTTCCTTTTTCACTTAGCATTGTAGCTTAGAAATGATTCCATATTCTGATCAGTTGGAGTCTTAATGGTTTTTAGAGCTACATAGTACTCCATTGTAACTGTCCTACTTTTTTCAGTCACATTTCATCATGTACATTATTTTTATTAATTTGCACTTGCTGCAGTGAGTAACCTCATGCATATATTTTTTCATATTGTTGGAGGTGTATCTTTGGAGTGTATTCCTAGAAATGGAATTGCTAGATCAAAGGGTATATATATCATACATAGTTTTTTTACATATTATTTGACCACTGTTTTTGAAGAACCTGGAACTTCAGGGAGCAAACAAGCTTTCATGGACCAAATCCATCTATAGATAGAGCCATTTAGAGGTTAAATGTCTTCATTTGGTAAAATCTCAAGCATAAAGTTTTCAAAAGTTATTCCAAAGAGGGAAAAAACACATTTCATGTAGTCTTCCTAGAGGATGAATTCAGGTGATATTTTCTTGTGTCCTATTTGAAAATCCCATTTATAAGCTTACAAAGAATCTTTTCTCCCTGATACTTGTCTTTATCAGAAGAGCTCCAAGAAGAAGTTTTGGAACTCGAAATTGATTGTGTTGCCAAAGGTAACCTACAGAAAATCACTTTGGTAGAGTATCTTCTTATTTATCCACAAATAAGCAAGCAGGGTTCACCAGTCATTGGACATATATTTGAGAAGATGTTCCCTCTACTCCATACTACACCCAGTTTCTGGCTAGGAAAATCTACTAGTGCCTAGTAGTGCCTACTAGGCTTGACTTTGAAAGTGCCTCACTGTGACTCCTCCTTACTTTTGTTATTTAATGTGATTCTGAAAAATGGAAGGCAGATGTAAAATATATACAAGTCTTCTAGTAAAGATTCATATTTTGAGGAGGTTCTCTTCCTTAATTATGGCTTGAGCTTGGTTTAGTTTGAGTATGAGTTTGTGTTTGAATGCAGCTGAGTAGTTTTGAGTGTGTGTGTTTGTAAGATTAATCATATAGACATAGTTTTCTAATATAATGAAGTTATATTTAGTAGGTAAAATTGATTTCAAATGTGGGGAGAAAGGATTTCAGATTTTCTAGGAGATTAAATGGGGCCCTGCTCATGTGATTATTATGATGACTCTTAGTATATTAATCAGTTATGTTTAAATCTGTGTCCAAAAAATTAAGGAGAAAACTTTTTTTTAATGTTTTTTTTTTTTAATTTTTATTTTTTAACATTTATTTTGAGACAGAGAGAGACAGAGCGTGACTAGGGGAGGGTCAGAGAGAGAGGGAGACACAGAATCTGAAACAGACTCCAGGCTCTGAGCTGTCAGCACAGAGCCCGACGCGGGGCTTGAACTCATGGACTGTGAGATCATGACCTGAGCCGAAGTCGGACGCTTAACCAACTGAGCCACCCAGGCACCCCTTTAATGTTTATTTTTGAGAGCGACAGAGCGCGAGTGGGGGAGGGGCAGAAAGCGAGGGAGACACAGAATCCAAAGCAGGCTCCAAACTCTGAGCTGTCAGCACAGAGGCGGAAATGGGGCTCAAACTCAAGAACCATGAGGCCATGACCTGAGGCAAAGTTGGATGCTTAACTGACTGAGCCACCCAGGCGCCCCCCCCTCCTTTTTTTTAAAATAGCACAAGGCTTATTTTGTTAAGGGATCCATTTAAAAAAACTGTCAACGACTATGGATTTGTGGATTTTTTTTCTGTGTATTTGGGTCATTGGAATATTTTGTTGTTAATTCTTTTGGTCATTATTTTGAGATTCAAATAACATTAAAGGAGATTTGAAGTTTTTGCGTTCATTAAAAGGGAGACGGGGCTTTAAAAAAAGACAGAAAACATATGGTGTTAAAAACAATAGGCTGTGAGTCAGATGAGCTGAGTGCAGGCCTCTGCTGCTACTCGGCTGCTGACTTTGGGACCTTTGCTGCTTTTAAACCTGTTTTTTCATTTGGAACATGAGATTCATCTGTCTGCCCTTGATACTCCCTCATGGCCTTGTGGTCGTAACAGTTAAATGAGACACAGAACACGTAAGTGCTTTATAGAATATAAATTGCTATACAGTTTTCTTAGGAGTATATGACATGAGATAAATATTCCTTCGAAAACTTAGAACGTTTTTAAACTGTTTCACCTGTGTCTCCTGTCCTGCACTGATAAGTAGAACATTTGCTTTTTCCCTCTGTGTTTGAGAGTACAAGTCTCCTGTTAAAAATGGCAGGACCCCTAGAATTTCATTTCCTCAGTTTGGACCAAAATAATTTTCATAAAGAACTTTCCTGATCAGTAGGCAAGCCAGTCTTCAGCCTGGAGAAACGAGGGTGGGCTGTTTGTGCTGACTTGATTGGGAGTCCATGAGGAGTGAAGGGTGTTCAAGAGAGAGGCAGGCTGATTCAGCAGTCAGCACTGGTTGGCGTTCCTGACAACAGTTCATCATGCTGGGTCTCCCATCTCTAAACAAGGCAAGCTCTCTTCCCCCACACCTTCCAATAACCCAACTGATAGAAAATGCCAATAATTTTGACTCTTTCCTCATCTTCCACATTCTGTCCCTTCCTCAGACTTAATGGTTGTATTTCTGCTGGATCCTTCAAATGATTTTCACCTTTGAGTTTTCATTGGTTGTATTTAGCCTAGGGCTTCATTCCCTCTTGCCTTGGCTTGCCATCACGGCACTTGTCACACAGAATGAAGTCAAAACTCTCTGACTGGTATACATACCTAGTTGCTTTGCAGCTCCATTATTTAGTGCTTCTGTTCACTTGCCCTGTCATCCAGCCATACAGACTGTCTTTTACTAAATGTGCCCTTAACACTCTTCACTTCCCTAACAATGCCAGGGTAGTTAAGAGCATGCCTGGGTTCAAATCCTTTCTTCACTATTTAGTAGCCATCTTACCCTGGAAATCTAACTGAACCTCACTCTGCTGCTTGATGAAATGAGGATAGTAATACTATCTGCCTGATAAGATTGATATGAAGACTAAAGGAGATAATCCATGTAAAATACTTAGAGAGTTGTGCCTGCATGTAATCACTGCTATGTAGCTAGTAGCTCTAATTATTAGTACTGCTACTATTATTATTACTGTTCCATGCACATCTCTGCTCAGTTGCATTCTCCCAAATCTCCCCAATGACTTAATCCATCCATTGATGCATCCATCTATCTTTTCAATAAGTATTTATTGGATACTTACTATGTATAAGGCATAAGACTAAGAATACAAACTTGAATCAAGTACATATTGTCCTCTAGGAATTTGGAGTCTGGTAGGAGAGATCAGAGAAGTATAAAATATTCATCTACTCAGCAGATGTTTATGGAAACTACAGAGGATTCAAGCACTGTGTGGTTCCGAGGCTGATATCATAGTTAATAACTAACTTTGGTGAAAGATCAGAGTTTGAGTACCTTAAGCAAAGCATAGCTGAGGTGGTTTGGGAGTATAGAAAAGAGATTTTATCAGCTAAGATGGTCAGAAAAAGCTTTTTAGAGGTGCTGCCATCTTAGCAGGACCTTGCAGGATGGATGGATCTTGCCCATCTTCACCTCTCTCAGGAGGCTTTTAGCTACTGCCTTGAGCTATTGCTTTGGGCGGCCTGTAGGATTTTCATATTCGTAACCTCCTCAAGGACAGGGACAGTATCGTTTTCAATTTTGACTTCCTAGTACTTCCTCCAAGTCTTATATAGACCATTTTCAGTAGAGGATGGTGACAGATTAAGGACACGTCTCTTCCCATGTAACCTAAAGGGCGATTGAAATTGTTGATTCTCAATATCTCAATATCTAGCAATTAAGCTTACTAGAGAAAACATTTATATAAACTGAAAGTGAGGTTTTGAAGATGTTCATATTATTTTATTTCTTACCACATTAATCATAGCCACAGGAATCATGATAAGGGTGTAAAAAAGTGAACTCTGCATCAAGCCATGTAGGTATTTCTTCCCATATTTCTGTGTATAGTTCTGGGAAGAAACTCTTGTAGATTCTCCATTAAAGCCTACCCCTAGGACAAGAATTCCTTGCGATACCATATCCTTATGTGATACCATTACTTTGATCACGTGAGAACTCTTAGTTTTAAAAACTGCCCAAGAGTTTTAATTCTGAATTTCTCCTTGTAGCAAGGAGCAAGGACCAACCCCAGTGGAGAGAAAGAAGAAAGGAAAGAGGAAAAGTGAAACCACAGTGGAGAGTTTAGAGCTGGATCAGGGCCTGCCGAACCCATCCCTGCGGAGTCCTGAGGAGTCCACTGAGTCTGCAGACAGCCAGGTACAGCTGTGACCGGGAACCCTGCGGGCGGTTACGGCTGCCGCACAGATCTTGCTGACGCGCTCCCTGTTGCGTTTCTCTCTCCATCTCCAGCCTTGCACCCCTTGCGCATAGATCCGGGCTGGGCTTTCACTGTTTTGGTGGGTGAGCACCAAGACCACAGGCTTTTTCCCCCTAGCATCCTGATCCTTATACTAATGATCTCCCAGGTTTTTTTAGTGGTGTTTGCTCTCTTCTTGGGAAGTAGCATGTTATTAGGCTGTAGAAAGAATGAATATGGAAAATTGAATTGTGGGGCACTCTGAGTTAAGGTGTCGGGGGCCTGATTTGCAATGCAGCTAATGCTTTTAAGATTCAGAGGGCTGGGCCGGTCTGCATAAGGACATTCTCATAATCCCAGATGCTGGAAAAGTCAGGGCTGTGTGTATTCATTTTGCCGAAATAGTAAAGGAAGTTTGGCCAAACATGGAAACAAAGAGTTGCCCACCTGAATGAGATTTTTAAAGCCATTACTAAGCATGCCCATGACATTGGTAGGAATTTTCTCCCTCAGTTGAAGCAACCTGTCTTGGATAGGAGTTCTAATATTTGAAAGTGGTGTTTCCTCTGATATCCATGACAGTTTACCTGGGTTATGCCTGCTGAAAGGGGACCATGTAAAATCATCCGACTACTGCACATTCAAGTATCCTTGGAGCCTCGTAGATTCCTAGATGGTCTTCACTGTAGGAAGGTATCAGCTTCCAATGTCACAGTGGTAATAAGTAGTAGTGTCTGGGGTATCAGAGCAGAACCCCCCCCCCCCCCCATCACTGTCTCTGAACTCGGGCTAGTGGCTGTCACGTGTCCTCATGGGCAGAGCAGCAGGCATGTTGGGTTGATGGGAGTTGGCAGGGGTTTAAGTGTTTCCAGGGTGGTGATCTGTATGTACATGGGATTGGGAGACAGGTTTTCATGTGGAATCCCTCATGTAAAACTAAACGTCATAGAGGTAACATAATGAAGAAATGGTGGGAGAACAGAGAGAGGCCCAGGAGGTATGTTTTAAAAAATAAGGCAGGTGGTGTTTGGCTTTGGTTTTGTTTTTTAAGATTGAAGTACTGGAGAGTGAGCTAGCTGGTGAGTGGTTCCCAGAAGTGTTTCTGCTGCTTGGATGGGATGTGTCCATGAGATGAACCATGTGTTTTTCTGTTTGAGGAAAGCCACTGGGCTGCTTTGTTGTTGAATGTTGTCTCTCTAAAAGGTCAGGAGTTACTTAATTATAGATGAGTCCTCAGATGGTGACTCATGAATCTTGTTTTGTCACACTTAATATGTCTCCTTGCATTTCAAGGAGATTCTCAGAGTAAGTCCTAATAAAACTGGTATTAATTTAGTTTTTAAAGAATATATTGTAAGTACAGTGAATTTGACCACAACCGAAACAATTATCTTATCCCCCTAAAATCAGAGCTTCCAGCTATGCTGGAAGGGACCTGAAAGATGATGGAGTTTACCTCTCATCCCCGTTTTACTGGAATAGAAACTGACTCCAGAAAGGAAAAGGAAAGTCACTATCATTCATGAACAAGACACATCTCACTGGATTCTGAGACTATACCTTCTTCTCAGGGGATCTTGGCAATTTGGATCCCCTCCCTCAGCCAGATTTCATTTTGAGTGAATTTAATTCTTAAAAGAGTTGTGTTTAAGAAAGATTGCTTTTGTAAAATAGGACAGGTCTCTTGTGCATGTCAGTGAGTGTAGATGAGGGTATTCTTTCTTGTCCACGCTTTTTGCCTTTGACTCACAGAGCATCTCTCCGATGGGTGTGTTTGCCCTGCAGAAACGACGCTCAGGACGGCAGGTGAAGCGCAGAAAATATAACGAGGACCTGGATTTCAAGGTGGTGGACGATGACGGGGAGACAATCGCTGTTCTTGGAGCCGGCCGGACGTCCGCCCTCTCGGCTTCTACACTGGCATGGCAGGCGGAGGTACGGCCTATGGCTGGGGTGCTGACCTTGGCTTGATCCATCATTTTGGCCCACTTGATAGTTATTCTGTGGCTCTTCGCTGAAGCTAGGTTAGGTTATTGTAACTGGTGCTGATAACCTTCAGTTGGCTTCCTAATCCATTTAGAATGAAGTTCACTCCCGCTATGGTGCCCAGCAGGGTTCTCTCTGTCTCAGCAAATTCCTTCAGCATATAAATGACTTTCTCCCCACTCCCTAGCCTTGGGTTAACAGTTCTTTCCCACCTTCTTGCCCTGATATCTCTTCTTCACATGCATTACATGACTTGGTTCATCATCTTTTAAGCTAAAATGGTTTCTCCCCAGAGAGGTCTTTCCTGGTTCTTGTATTTAGAGTAGATCTCTGCCTCTGAGCCCCATGATTCTCAGTTTCACTCCATGTCTGTTTCTTTCATAGCACTTGCCACAGCTGATCATTGTGTTCTGGTTGCATTTATTTCTTTGTCTTTCCCATTAGAATGTGAAAGTCTGATAACATACTAAACAGCCATTCATTGGATGAAATCACATGCACTAGTAATTACAGTTGGAACTTGGATTCAATAAATGTGTATTAAGAGTCCATACAAGGCCAGGTCTTGGGATACAAGGATGAGTATCAAGGCATGGTACCTGGCTCCAAGAAGAAGGGGCTTATGGCTATATGAACACTGTGATAAAGTGCGGCCTTAGAAGAATGTGCTGGATACAGTGGCTACATGGGGGAGTGGACAGGAAAGGGGGAGGTCAGGATTTTAGGAAAGGCATTTCTAACATGAACTAAAGCCCACAGCCTGGATGGTGTTGCGGGTGGTGTTGTGATAGACCAGCTCGGCTGGATGTTGGGATCTGGTCTGAGGAGTGGTGGGAGATGAGCATTGAGTGGTAGGAAGAGTCACATTATGCAGGCCCTAGGGATTAGCTAAAGTATTTGACCTTAATACTGCAGAGCAAATGGTAGGGGGGAGGGGACATTGAGGGTTCCAGCAGAGAAGCAGGATGGCCCTATTTGTATTTTAGGGATTTCCATTGGCAGCGGTTTCAAGAAGAGGGACCTGATATCCAGATGCTAGAAGGAAGAGAGGTAAATATTGAAAAGGAGGAGGTCTGTGCCAGGGAGCTTACAGAGAAGACATTAGAAGCAAAAGAAGAAACAAGCTGTGCATATAGGAAGGGCATCATTGCCAGCAGCACATTCTGGGACACAGCCTGGCTGTTGTTGTGGAGTCCCTGATGCTGACTTGGCAGAATTCATGCTCTGCATGTGCGACAGAGCACAAATACCTGTCCTTCCCCCCGGGCACTAGGGTGGCTTAGCAAAGCCGGTAATACTTTATCTGTCTAAACCACCTTGCCTCCAGCTTAAAGCATTTTCACATAATTTCACATATCCTTTCACCTTGTGTTTGCATGGACAGTAGCTAGGAGGAGGGGTCGTCATCCCTGGTTTAACAGCCAAGAAGCGGGCACAGAACAATCTGGGTCATGGGACACCCTAGTGGTAGTCAACCAGTGACTAGCATGTAAGAGTTGATTTCAGGTCCCTTTGCCAAGAGTTATCCAACCAATAAACATAGCACTTAATAGGAATAATAATTTGATGTACTATCAGTGTAGTGCTTTCAAGCAAACAGTTAAGAGTAGTCCTGGCAAGAGTGCCATGAGGTGACAGGATTATATTGCTTTATGATGGGTTTTCCCTCCTTGGAGATTTATGGTTGGTTTGGTAGTTAAAACATTAGAAGGGAATTTATTTTCTCCTAGTAGCCATTCAGCCCGTCATTAACCATATTTCAGTTGTTGTTATGACTTCTTTTGTGGTACCTGAAGGGCGGCTTTAGCTGATCTGACAGAAAGAATTCAGGAAATTTTATGTATCTTAACAAGGCTCTTTTTATCCTCTTCAAGGTACACGAGAGAGAGAGCTAACATATGATAGAATCTGAATTTTCATTAATTAGGCCTCAAAAATTGTTATGAAATTTAAGCAGAAAGAGGCCTGATATGTGGCTTTGGCAAGCACGTGGATCTGGCCTCTGTGTCCCAGGCCTGGCCTAGCATGCAGGGTAGATAGACGGCCTGTAGGGGGATTGGGTGGGTTTCAGAGGCCTGCCTCAGCTGAGCCCTAGCTGCTGCCCGACTACACCGCATTTGCCTCTGGTTTACGTTTTGGGCTTCCTGGTGAGGTTTGAACAAAGATTTCCCAGGCTGATGGCAAACCTTGAAAGCCATGAATCTCATCTAGGATTCCAGACAATCCTCAGTACCCAGTGGCACAGAAAATCAGTTGAAGAAGATGAGGCTTTTACTTGTGTCCTTCTCCCGAGGCCCTTTGGATGGCTGTCTGCCTGCTTGCTGGCTGTAGCTTGGGGCCAAGAACCGTGTGGAGTCCCCAGCAGAAAGGCCCTGCTGCTCCCTCGCTGCATTTCTCGGGCAGTGCCTTCTCAGCATGCTCTGCCTTGTTCTGTGGCCCCTGGCCCAGTCCCAGATTGCAGCCTCAGCACTGGCTGTCTAGTGGGGAGTTGCTGGAAACATCTTTACATGTGATTCGTGGTAGGCCAGGACTGGCATGCTAGCACGGCCCTGCTCTGGAGCCAGAGGGACGGTCCCCTGACTGGGATACAGGATTCGGGGGCAGGAAATAACTTTCCATCCTCACGTCACAGTGAGCAAAGTCTTTGCTTTCTTATTCTTTGTCAAACGGATGTTGGTGTCTAGAACAGAGACAGACTTTCGCAGTTGTTGTGTAGATTTTTACAAGGCTGTCTCAGTTTCTGCCTCCTACAGTTTGTGCAGTTGTGTGATTTTGCCTTTTAGAACAAAGGGCTTTAATCTGAATGAGGCTTCAGCTCCCGGTGCCCTCCTGTGCCTCACTCTGTGTCTCTGAGGCCAGCGCCCTCCGCTTTGTCTAACCTTTTGCCGTGCCTGATGGGCTGAGCCCAGTTGTTTTCTCCCCCAGAAGCCCCCTGTTTCCTTCCCTGAGCTGGGGGAGAGTGCCCCTGCTCTATGGTCTAAGGTGGTTGTTTCTCAACTCCGATATTAAATCAAAATTCCTGCCTGATTTTTGTTTTAAATGTGACTGCACACTACCTGTTTACTCCCGTTTATTTCCCTACCTCATTCTAATGCTTTTGCTCTACTGTTTACTTAGTATTCCGTATATGCATCCTGTTTCCTGTGGACTCATTCTTTCATCCTTCCAGTTCATTTCAGCTTTCCTTCCTGCTTGTCCTCTTACGACCCACCATTCCTTAGGGCCCTACTAAAACCTTACCTATTCTGTGAAATCCAAGCTGTTCTTGCTTTTTGCACTCTTGCTGGACTTAAGGTTACTGTCACACCAATTAGAATTTAACCTGCAACGTTTCTAATAAAAATGTTTTATGTTGTTTTCCCTACATGAATGTAAGCCCCTGAGACTGGGCATCTCGTTTGATGCTACTTTTGTACCCTCACATACTTGGTGATTTGAAAAGTGATTTGCTTCTTGCTAGAACCTCTCCCTTGTGCCTAGCTAAATAGAACTAAATCAGGTGGTTGGTTGAGGTTGGGGGTGACTAGGGTTGACAATTTTTGAAATTTTCCCTAAGAAAAAAATTTTTAGTTATCCGAGTCTCTGACATGAAAGAGAATGAATTAAAATGGCCTTCTTTGAAGGATAATTTGAGAAAATTCCAAGTAGCTGAGAACAGATGGTTGTTATGGAAGTGTGTTTGGCAAGCAGATTTAGTTTATATCTGTGTGTATCTGTATACACGGAGTGTTGATACACACATGATCGTGCTTATGCACAATCTCTGTTTAGAAAAGTCCTGATTTCCTAGTTTCCGTCCTGCTTTGATGTGTATTTTGGAAATGCTATTCCCTTTTCCTTTTATTGGGATAGAGTAAAGCCTGCTCTCAGTGTTTTGATGATAATCAGTTTTTTTTTAAAGGAATTATTCTTTTCTTTCTTCTTTTTCTTTATTTTTTTTTAAGTTCATCTATTTATTTTGAGAGAGACAGCACAAGTGGGGGAAGGGCAGCTACAGAGGGAGAGAGAGGATCCCGAGCAGGCCCTGTGCTGCCAGCACAGAGCCCGATGTGGGGGCTTGAACCCACAGAATTGTGAGATAATAACCTGAGCCAAAAGTAAGAATTGGATGCTTAACCAGCTGGGCCACCCAGGCACTCCTCTTTTCTTTTTTTTTTTTT